CACAAAAGATCGATATGGATAGGCATAATTATGAATCCCGTATGTTCGTTTGGATATAAACAATGTTTTAGAGCTCTCGTTTACCATTTGCCGTGCAATCGTCGTGAATTGACAACAGTGGCTGACAGTGATACCGACTTTATTTCTCCTCTCTTTCTTCAGATTTGGAGCTTTTGACAGCACCTCTTCAACAGAAGTACCACCAGCCTTTGGAATGTGTACAAATCCTATATTCGCGTCTTTGTAAAGAGCACTATGATCTGTATATGAAGTGTCGTTTTTATATGCGAGATAGAAATTTCCAAGTGGTTCTCTACCATGTGGTTCTCTTGGCGGACACTCCCTTAGGATAGCGAATTGTTCCGAACATAGCTGGTCACTGAGATCACGTTGTAGTTCTCGCTCGCAATAAGTAGGTATCGGTGTATATGAATCCCGTCTTCTTCGAGACTTCGACCTTGACAGCGAATAAACACTGCTAACAGTATTTATTTTCCCCATACACAGAACAGTAACTATGAAAACTACTAACAAGAGTACCGTGAACAGCAGTTTATATTTTGCAGGCATGGTCAAGCACGACCTGTTTCGCACTGAACTGAACTGAACTGAACTGATATATAACTAATTATACACTGGTTTTAGCTGATAATTCTCTGCTAGCTGACGTACAATGTGACGTCACATAGTCGGTTCATTCATATTCGTCAAGCCGATTATATATTATTATTTTACTTATTATTAGTTTTCTGTAATTATTCTGGGATTCTAAATCTCAAGCTCGAAATACGCTAAGAAAATAGTCGGACAGTCTAGCATCGCAGAAATTTAAATTGAACGTAACCATTGTGTTCTAAGAATGAAATGATATGACAGCTGGAATTCAGACTAGTCCAAGTGGCCACTGGTAATTAAGTCATTACTACTCGTGGTTTATCTTTAAATTAATTATATATTAACATGGTACGTATGAAGCATATCAGAATTATAGTTTGCGTCAATGGCCACTTTATCAGTACTTCTTAGAATTAGCTCAGTTTTTATATTTTTAGGTGCGCTGCGAAATCCGTAAGGGACTCATCTTAATGTTAGCAGTGGGAAAAATGTCTTTTACTGAAGTCACTTAAGTGGGATATTATTTACTTAGTTTATTAGTGGTTATTATTATTTTTATTTCCCCTAAACATTTCATTGTTACAGTATTGCATACTTGAAACACACACACACACACATACAAACAAACAAACAAACAAACACAGAAAACATTTGCTCTAGAATGAGATTGTATTGTATGAATTACGTGGACAAGATAACATGGCTTGAATATAAATTTTGGCGATCATATGGCTAGATTCGACTTCAAGCCTGTGTCTTTACCCAGGCGTTATTTGTTTACTGATGTACTGCCCTTAGCGGTTCTAGTTATTATATACAGCTGTGTCACAGCGGCACAGAGGCAACAGACTGGAACCCTGTCTACATGCTTATGGCGACAGTAAAACCTCTATATAAATAAGAACTCTAGAACTGATGAAAGAAACTACCGTTCAGTCGGTTTTATAAATTTTGTTTTCAAAATGCTAGAAGGTGGAGCAACAGCTCGTCTAAAATAGACTTCCATGCAATATGGTTTCTTCGGTGGGTATTACTCAACTGAAAAATATATTATCCATGTACATATATAACAGATTACATTAAATCTGCAAAAGGTTTTCTAGTGGCACGGCATTTTTAAAATTGGTGCAAATAACAAGTATTCAGTGGTTCAGTCGTAATTACCGCCGAGGAAATAGTTCAGTCTGTGAATTAGGGAAAGTGGTTTTCCATGGGGACATTGTTTTGCTATTTCAAATTTGAAAGACTTTACTCTATGCGGCTGACACCGCTATGATAGTATCCCGGCAAAAAATCTACAAGAATTATTAAATACTCTTCGCTGTGAGTATACAAGTAAATTGCCGTATATAGTTCACTGTTAAAAAAAAATATTTTGCCAACACATAATCTACCATATTTTGGAAATTGCGGGTTTTAAATTTAGTTATAACGATCAAGATTTAGCAGGACCCTATTAGAGATAAATTCGAATACTATGAGGTCATTACGAGAATTCCGCAACGTATGTGCGAAGGCAGTACGATGATTGTGTCGACCGACGCTTAGAGGAGGACAATGTGTTGCGACGCTTTATAAAAGAAATATAATCACTTTCAAGACGATCATTACATATCTGTACTACGAGTTGGCTTAAAATCACTGTAAAGATTTGCCCATCCTTTCTCCAACTTTGGTTTGTTACAGTGCCGCTGCCAAGATCCTTGCATGGGGATTGAAAGTAATGCTGTTGTCATAAATTTATTGAGAGGAGGATGATGCAGCGAAACAAAAGAATATTAGAATGCGACCCCCTAGAAGGAGCACTTCAACAATGTTCAGCAGTTACATCTCGTCACAAAACTGGATATTGAGAATGGCAGATAAAAATAAGGTTATAATATGCCATATCTCAACAACTTCCAGATAACCAGCTCCGTTTAGGGGCTGGGGTAGCTTTCTACTTACCTTTTATAGGGTGTTTTGAACCTGTACGTAAAACCAAAGAAAGAACTTTACTTGGGAGTCCAATTTTACTTCAAGAGAAAAAAGTCAATTCGTGCTTTGTCATCATATCGTTATATGACCTATGTGCAATTCAATATTCTTGCATAATTGTAACAAAGCTTTCCCTCGCTGCCGTTACTGTATTATCCATCCATGATCGTGACATGTTAAAGAGCGACTTTGCTAATGCGCAGACCAACGAGTACAAATTGAAAGGTTGCCAAGCTTTAACTAGGTAATGTCTTTGGTGACTGGAAGGTATTGGAGGAACCATCGACGGCAATTAGCCCACGTTGCGATTTCCATTAGAAGAGCGCATTGGATTGTGGGAAATTTACTGTTTATCAATACAAATGTCGCACATGCGCGGTGTGTCAACCACCGCCCTTTAATACGCCAACTTTGGAACTAATGTCTTGCCATGTCTTTAATCATCTTCAATACATTAATATACCGGTAATCAACATCATAATCGCTATTAGGTGCATGATGGTGAAGCTGATGTGCTACAGCACTGCCCTGAAGATCGACCAGTAAGTCAACAATCTAGTCTATTATATAACCAATTGTGAGGGTAGTTCTACGGTAAGATGGCCCAGGGGGCACTTGAATTTGATCATGGGTACCCATGGTTTTTTATAGAAGCCTCTAAAGTTTAAATGTGCATACACATATGCAAAAATGTAACCCATTCCAAGACATGAAAGGCAAATACTATTTGCGAGGGAATTCTAAACGTGATGGAGATTCGCCGGTTGGTACGCCAGTAAATTTCAACAAAATTAAGACGTGGAGATTACCTCGCTTTTATCTTTTTCTTTTGAAAAGACATATTTCTAAAAATGAGCCCCGAGACAGGAATTGATAGTGTGTAAGTCTATAATGTACAGCTTGTATGCGATAAATACTGAGTATGCAATATAGTATGTGTGCATACTAAGTTAGTTATGTTGTCATTTCAATGAACCATCAATACAAATCATTATTTGCTTTGTGCTTTCGTGCACTGCACTTTTAAAAATTACAAACTGATTATAGAAAAATTACACACTTGCGATATCACCATGGTTATACAATGACCATAATCAAATGGGAGAAGCTGTGTTTTGGTTTGGCAATGAAGAATGCTGCACATGCGATACTTTGACATTCTTCAATCAGTAGTACCAAGCGTTGGCAGCATGTCTTTGGCTATTGGGGTTCTATAAAGTACGCCATCAACGGCAACTTGAACTGGTTTAAGTTGCCTTTTGTGTACTCTATTTGTTTTCCATGTTATTACGTGGGTAAACAGTCCCTCTATCATAGATAGAGGGATTGTATTGGGTGTAAATTTTTGCCTACAGTATGCAAAGCACACAATGCAAATCTTTTTATTACCCTGTCTGTATGTGTGCCAGTAAAGTGTACATGTCTTCACACCAATAAATTTCAAAAACAAGTTTTTACAAATATTAGATTTCAGTGTAATTTCAGATGGACTTGGTAAGTTTGGGGTGAAAATTTGTGCATGTTAATTACCTAATTTTAACAGCAGTTAGATATTTCAGGCAAGAATTAAACTGATAATCCACAGACCTGATTAAGTTTTGGGCTTATTAATTGCCTCAGTATATAAAGCTTATTTTAACCGTTAACAGATATCTCAAAACTGCTTAGATTTGATTGAAACTTGGTATATAGGTGATCTGTAATAATAAATCTACACACCTAATTGTTTCCTGGTTGTAGTTTGTGCAATGTAAATTGCATAATAATTAGCAAATTTTTAGTTTTTTCATTGATCTGCCTCGAAACATGGAAATATATAAGCTCTCTGATTAACTTTAGCACAGAGGTCCTATTACTTTCCATGGTATGAGTGGACATTGTGGTACTTACAGGGAAACTGTGAGCCTTTTATTTACTGTAGATGTGTTAAATGTGATGTGGATTATGCACAAATAACATGCAATACTAAAGCACTATCACAGCTCCACCCCACATTGTGTTGTATGTGGGTCTCCTAATGTAAAATATATTTTTTGTTTACATGTAATTTTGGTACTGTCTAAATGTGGAATAGTTTAGCAAACTATACTAGTATATAATCTAGCATCTTTCATTGCTTCATCTAACCATATTGGTACACCATATAGCTACTGTATATCACATCACAGATCATCTACTGTAAAATATTTTATTTTACCTGGAATTAATTTTCGCTGAAAAAGCTTTTTGGGTGTTTTGTATGTAATTTATTTTCACTGATAATTGATGAGTTGAATGTAAAATAAAAAAAGGTATATACACTGGACGTTATTTACACTGAATCGATCCTTCAGCAAAAGCAATAATTAATTCCAAGCGAAAATAAAGTAATTTACAGTAGTATATGGATAGGACAACTTAAACAAAAGTGTAAATCTACAAATGTATTTTATTTTAGTTACAGTTGTTTTTCATGTTATGTTTCAATTACTAATTATACCATACTGTACACAAATAGAGCATATTTAGAAGATTTCTCATTTTGGAAACCTATAATTTGACATATTTAGAATCTAACTAAGAGTGAGAAAAATTTAAATGTAAGTGTTTGTTTTAGTGGCAGCTGCTAAACTTTACTCTGGTCCATTCCTGTGTTGAGTCCTTTATTGCGATACATTCCACATTTTCCTAAAGGCTGCAATAAAAAAATAAAAGAGAAATGTCACAAATATGCAATGTACAATGCTAACAGATACTCAATAGATCTGATACACCAGTAGCATTATAGCCACTTTTAGTCTAGTCCGATACCGATACCATGTTTTTTACTATATACATGCATGTATATATTGTTGAAAAGACACTCACTTCTGAGAACTTCTGTGACCTAGCATGAAAACTTGTTGGCATTGTGTGGACACTTGGAGGCATGGAGCCATATTTGGAGTTTGTTGTTCTGTACATTGGGTGTTGTGATTTTGTGCCATAACCTTCAAACCAACCTGTACGTGGAACAAAAAAAAACTTTATTAGAAAATAGATCTGTCACAGACACAAAAATAATGTAAGGGTATAAGAGTTATCACTAGTGCCATAATGTCAAATAGCATACCATTATTTATAGGAGAGATGATACTCTAGCGCTGAGAGTGTACCCACTGTGGGAGTGTTTCAAGTTATACTTTGTGAACAAACAATATTTTTTCCACCCACCAGTCATACTGTTCAGATCTCTGTGCTCCATTTTCGGAATTATAAAAATGTGTAGTGTGATCAATGTAATATTGCTGAATTCTAGATGTGCTACAATGCATTTAGACACTTCTCAACTCAAATATGTATATAAAGCAATTTACAATTAACACACAAAAAAAGTTCACCAAATACATGGAATATATGCTGCAAAAAATGGTCAAAATCATGTGTTATTTTTGGAGGGTTTGGACAGCTAGCATCTCAACAGTACACACCTTCATCACTTTGTTGTGGTGCTTCTATTGTTGGCCTTTCCATACAGGAAAATATTGGATTACCTGGACTAGCACATGGAGGCATGTTTTCTAAATAATAAAGAGAAATTAATTAGTGATAGAAATGAACTTGCCAGTCTACAACCCAAACTGAACTACATGTACTTATTATGTAAACATACCAGTACTCAGTCAATTATGTAATTTATGTGAGCTATCTTTAAGATAAGCATGGAAGCCAAAAAATATATGTACTGACTGAAGACATGTGCGTTCAGTTTGGGTTGACGACCAGACTTCATTTAAAGAAAATCACAAATCATACCAGGATTGTCAAAACGGTCAGGAATATCATGTGTCCTGTAGAGGTCAGACGTTTTTGCACCTGTTAATGAAGCTGCATTGGTATCACAAGCTTGTTCTCCTGTACGTTCTTGTGGGTACTGTGAATCATCTATTACCTGTGCAAAAAGATAACAAAAATTATCAAGAGTTGTATCATTTTTTTTAGCTAGAGAAATAATTCAGTAGTTCTGGACAGTTAAGTATGCAGAATCCTGCTCCTGCACAGCATAATTTTTAGTCATGAAACTATGGAAATACTAATTATCTAGTATTTGCAAGAAACTTCCATATTTTAATATTAAATGACACAAATGACTTTATACATGTGTGTCCATGAAGACATAATAATTTATATAAATTTATATATCTGGGGTTCATTTGAGGGGAAATAAATAAATGCAACACAATTCGTGATATACAATACATAAAAGATGCTCATGGTAGGTCATGAAGAAGAATTGTTATATCCCAATGTGAATGTCATATTTTCTTTCATAAAAGTCAAATATTTTCTCCATATTGTCAATTTCATGTACCAGAGACATCACGTCAGGCATTTAGCCAGCCACCTGTCTGCCTGTCATTTCAGACAGTACAGTACTTGATGTTTTATATACAAAATTTGATTTGATAGGCTAGATTTCTACAAACCTATCAACATTTGAGCGAAAATGTCTATTTTTTTTTCAAAATACATGTAGCTATAAATAATCAACAACAAATGAACAGACCAGCAATTACTACCTTCTATTTCAATATAGAAAAAAATAGAATAAAATTCTATATTATTATATTAGTACCGTAAAGATAATGTGACTTTTTTTTTTGGTTAATAAAGGTTTTAGACAAACACTTTTTATTTTCATAATGAGGTACTGACAATGCCGAAACCTTCCTAAACTACATATCAAGTTTATGTTCACAGACATCTTGATCAGTGCATGGAGCTAAAATATTATATTTTAGCTCCATGATCAGTGTCATAACCTGCCTAATCACAGTCCCTGTAGAGGGACTGTGGCCTCATCAATGAAAGTTTAACACAAAAATAACGCCATTTCGGTGAAAAAAAGCAATGTTTCGCAACATTCCAAATGTACTATGCAAAGACAAATCACGAGTTTTACGTAATTTGCTGTAATGGCTGTATTAGACCGGGTGTCTACCTGAAATACAATCGTTGCTTTTACAAGAGCGTCGGGTTGGACAAACAACGTCACTTTTCGTGTTTCGTTGCGTGCAAAATGAAGTAAATGGATAATGTCGAATGTATTACATTTGTTGTCCCTTTTCAGCGTTTAAAAAAAACATCAACTTTGTCTTACCTCGTGTGGCAAAGTCAGCTTATTTTCGGCACCAGCCATGTTGAATGTTACTAAAATGAAAAATTTAGAAATCTAGACAGTATAGACAGCTCACGTTAGAACGGCTCAACAAATAAATATGGCGAATTCAATGTTTATCGGGCGATTTATATGCGTCGTTGCTATGTTGACCAAAAGATAAACACGTTGGGTGACGTCAACCTAAGTAGTTCGAAGGGGTCAGTTGTTTCATATATCAAGAACGTCAGTTTGAAGCAGCTTTGCATTCGTACGTCTTGAAGAATTAGGTATATTGTTTTATTTATGAATAGTTGATTGATAAATAAATAAATCGGAGTGCTTTGAAATATTGCATATATTTGAATATATAGTTTATTAAAATCCATATTACCCTATATAATAATGGTATAGTCTTAGTGTATAAAATCTCGTTCACTCGCACAACAAACACTCGCGAGAAAAAACGAGAACCATCATGGCGGCAATATTGTCTTGATGTTTTCTTTCAATCAAAACAGAAAACATCGTTCAGTTTTTATAGTTTAGTTTATAGTGTTTGAATCTGTCAAATGAAAGATGGCATCAAAACCACTCAACTGCATCGTTAAAAAACCCGTGGTGCTAAAAATCGGTGATCCAAGGACGGAATTCAGTTCCGGTGCTGCAGTCATTGAAATTGCAATGCCCAACATAAAATCTGTTGACGTGAGTACTGTTATTACAATTATAGTACATGTTCATGTGCCAATGTAAATGTAAACATCGTTGGGGCTTAGAAATATACTTTCTCGGCATGCATTTTTTCACCCACTGATCACCAACTGTACTCACGCGGGATCACTCATGGGGAGAAACAAATTGGTTCAGATTGTGCTGTGTTCTGTGGAAAAGAGGGGTGGACCATGCAGAAATTGGGGAGGGTTCATCTGTCCGACAAACCAATGATCCAACAACCAATATTTGGTTAAAGCACATTTTATTATGACCGACTCTATATATTGAATATTGAAGACATCACTCATTGCATGTGTTTTAATAATAGATAATTCTCATTAAAGGTCAAATAATTATATATTTGGGCTTGAATGTTATGAGTCTAGTGTCACTGTGCATTCATGCATGGGTCAGCTGGTGTATAAGTGATAATAAAATGAATGTGATTAATTTACTGTATGGGGCTGCTATCTTGAATACTGCTTAAAACTAAATAAAGAACAAAGTTGAGAAACAGGTTTTTCAGATTAAAAAAATGATTTCTACAAATAAAAAAAATAGCAAACTTTCACGGACAAACGATTGGCCAACATTAAGTCAACCGCTAACAAAATTCGGCCAAAATTGTTGTTTTTGTGTGGAAAAATTCCTTGCATACAAATACAAAGAAACTAGAACACTTCCCTGGGGTCTTTGAATCGTAAATTGTCATCCGACGCATGCGCCAATCAGTGACGGCCTTACAGGTAGATGACCATTTCTTTGATAGTGAGTCAGGTAAATTGTGTGTGAAGTTACTGATGCTAGGGTTCTTTCATGAAAAATGAAAATGTCACAAAAACTTATGAAAATTCAATGGTTTACAATGCAGCCATAATCATAATGTGTTTTAGGCACTGGTAACTTTGAATCTCCTGCTTGAATGTTATGAGACTGCCAAAAAACATTTTATATTACAGTATATGAGAGGCTGTATTGTTTACAAAATAACAGACATAACATTCTGGTAATTCTATCATTGCAGCTTGGAGAAGTCACTTTCAAGAATAATTACACTGCTTATTTATCAATCAAAGTCAGATGCAGTTTCAAGAGTTCTGAAGTTTCGGGCAGTAAGTATAGATTAAGATGTTTTGTAATACAAGTGTTTGAGTTGTCCATGGTGAGATTAGGGTGGTAGTTCTACATTTGTAGTGAAAAAAACAATGAGTTATGTTGTTCTCTGAGAAGGGTTTACAACAAACTATAAACACTTGAGGGTACTATTCTGCAATAACAAAATGCAAATTAAAAACTACAGTAGGTACCTGAGTTTTTTTCATTAGAAATAATGAGTTTGTGATTACTCTGATGAACATTTAGAATTTATGGTTGGTTGATATTAATTCAACTAAAGTTAATAATTTAAAAACTAGTTTGGAGGTCCCAGTTGCATTGAACAAATTTTTGAAAATTGCAAACAAAATTAATGTACTATGTCAAAAGTGTGTTACGCTATCTATCCTTCCTTTCCAGTGCTATTAATAGAGCAGATAAGGTACATGTTATATTCCTAGGTGACTTTGTTGCACCTATGATAAAGCGATGTCTGAAAATATGTGTTGTGTTTTATTATGTACTCCCAAATAATAGAAACATGCACCATTGCAGGAGATACTAAATGGAAAACAGTATTGAGAAGATATCCCCTGATGCCAGATCCGCATTGTGAACCAGGAAGTCAAGATTATTTTACAATTTCTAGAAAGCAGGTATGCCTTCACTTTGTAATGTTCATAGATATGTACATGTACATGTATTGTCATTACCAGATGCTTTGTTTGAATTGTCGCCATGGTGCTTGCTTTCAAACCTTGTTTCTATGATTTGATTCAATATTCATGTGTCATACCAGTTTTTCATGCTGATACACTTTCATTGATTTTGTTTTAATTTGGTTCAAAAGACATAATGGTGTGAATATTTCTTGCATTCACAACCAGTCCTATCTGTAAACTGGGCAAGTTTCATTTGTGTGAAGCTTATTTTCCCATTGACACAATAGAATGAAACTTTAATAATATGCTTTGTCAAACCATAATTGCATGGCTGAGTTTTCTCAAACTTGGTATGAACGTCACACATGATGGGTAACTGATGCACATACATTTTTGTGTTTTGATTCAAAATAATCGACTGGTGGCCATGTTGGTTTTAATTTTATGTGTTCTTATAATTATTTTTTGTTGTGCTTTGACCAAATTGCTGGAAGTTGTTACAAAGACAAGTTATAATGGATTACATGTACATATGCACATAGTTCATTTCCTTGACCTTTGATAGACCAAAACCATTTTTGTTATCAACAGTTTCTCTGGCATGCCTTTGTTGATTTCATTCAAACTTTGTATTTACATTACACATGGTGGGTTACTATAAGTATTCATCTCATTGTGTTTAGCAGTTTAATTCAAAATAGCGGCTTCAAGTTTTCTTTCTGTATTATAGATGTGCTTTGTTGACATATTACATGTATGCTTATGACCATCTTCTTTCAATAGAACAGGTTTTGCGTCTCAAACATTTGAATTTAATTTCTATTGAAACAAATACCCTCATTGTAATTGATTGTGTGCTTGAATTCAGATGTTAGCCGAACCAAACAGAGTAGCAGCCGTGAGATTTATTCTACAGCAACCATCACCAGTGTGGAGTCATTTTATAATAGAAGACATCAACCTCTATGAGTACAAAGTAGATGTAAGTCTAATGTGTTATATAACTTAATTTGTGTGCAATTGTTGTACATGAACTGACATTGTTCATATGTATTAAATAAGAGGTCATTGGAAACATACCCCCGGTACTGAATGTGCTGACTATTTACCAGTACCTTCAGTGGTGCCTATAGCTGTAGATCCATGTGAAACGTGACTGTAGTGTTATTTTATTTCATATTTCCGTCTATCTTCAGTACGCTGCCTGTTCTCCTCAGAAATTTCAACCAGAGTGGTGGCAAAAATTGATGTACTAATATGCATATCATTTGCATATTATTTTCATAATCATTCCAAATAGAAATTGTGATTGTTTCTGAGCTTTCAGTTTTAGTGATTCTTATTCTTTCAAGGCACCCTCACCTGTCTCATTACCTCAGTGGTTGCTAAGACACACTGGAGATGATGGTGACAATGACAATGATACACAGGATGAAGACAAGGAAGAAGAAATTTATTTAGAGGTGAGAAATGAGCATACTTAACATGGGAGTGAGACTTTCATAATCTTATACTGTGATGTGCAATGAAGTTTATGTATACACCAATGTCGGAATACATGTGTGTTCGCCAGGTGATGAGGGTGAAAAGCAAAGCAACAATGAGTGGACTACCGTAAAAACTCCAAAATTTCGGACGGCCTAATTGTTTGATTACGGTCTTGTGTAAACGTTCGATGCTGTAGGATATCCGCCATGTTCTCTTAGGTCAAATAGGTCAAATCGCTAATTAACCAATGAAAAAGCTAGATGATGCCAACGTGTTCAAATTACCATAGCTTATTTAAATATGTTAATGTTATTGAACGCAATGCGAAAGAGATTGATGTTGTAGTACGATCTTTTGACTTGGATTTTGATGCGAAAACGGCATGATTTTTTTTTAAATCAAAAAATTAGTTGTTTTTAAAAAATAAACTGGGCATTTGAAGAATAATTAACATTGTTTACAGTGATAACAGCTCTTTGTCGAAACGAAGCTTACCCGTTCACGCTAGTCACGATAAAAATAATACTCTTGAATAGACATCAATGACTACGGTATAACTTAGACTATTTTAGCAGTAAGGAATGATTGAAATGTCTGAAAAATGACGCCAAAATACACCTTAAAAGTCCCATTTTATTTTCTTAAATCCCATTTTATTTTTTAATCCAAGAGCGAATTTACGGCAGAATCTGGTCCCTCAAATAAGGGATACGTGAGCTTTGATTCTAACCGAATACATTGCACTGGGTCGGGGAGATAGTTTGCTAAACTTCCATGTATCTTTTGTCAAATGGGTACCTGTACTTCGAACATTCGCAAGTTTTCCTAGGTAGTGAGAGACAACTTTGTCTTATTAGTTTTGTGCTGACCTCTTCTCCGCGTCTTGATGTTTTGTTTTCCTTGTCATAATACTCACTGATTGATGACTTTGTTTTGATTTTGAGTTGTTCAGCCTACAACTCGGCCAAGACCTTTGCTTTTACCGTGAAACATGGGGAAGTTTACGTCAATTGACGGACATTGCATTTTTTAAAAACTAACGAAGCACACTGTCTATCATTCCCATTTTTTTCATTTGCTGATTTCTATTCTGAAAAATTTGACCGTCCAAAAATGCACCTTAATTTTGACTCTAAAAAAACACGTCACGTTTCCAACACTAATTATTTAAAACCGGTCGTAATTTTGGAGTTTTTACGGTACTTTGGGTCTTTGGGTCAAGAAAATCCTTAGTGATAGTGAAAGTCAAAGTGTTCAAAAATACTAGTTACTGTAAAACATTTCTTTTTCGCGAATTTATCGAAAGAACTGATTCGCTAATTCAAGATGTCGCTAATGACTTTATCATAAATTCAAAATGGCCGCCAAACAAAGAAATCAACAATAACAAGAGAGATTCGCTAAATCAACATTTCACTATTACGTCATTTTACCACAAATCGCTAAAATTGCATGTCACTTTTTCAACATGTTTTACAGTATTCTAATTATACAGTGTTTATGTATAATGTTTGTTCTTCTTGAGACGACAGAGACAAAAACAATGTTATGTTATCATACACACTTTTACCAGAGAAGAAATTAATCCATTAATTAATCTATTCAAATAGTTGGTATTTTACAAGAGATTTTATTTTCCCCATAGGGCGTTCCTCCTATTGACAATATCTCATCAGGTCTTCAACAGCTATGGGCTTTAACTGAATCAGTGAGAGCCAATCAAACAGCTGCATCTTTAGGAAGATATGATGTGAGTATATGCACATAGTAATCTAAGTAGATCAGTATAATCATTTGTATTCATAACACGTAATTAACTATTCACAACCACTCTGACCTGTACTCAAACACAAGTAATCTGATTTGTAACTGTAATCATCTACCCAAATCAATTCTTATTTGTGATCTACTAACTACAGCCATTCTGTTTTTAATCAACTGATCATATTTCTTGTAATGGTAGATTGATGGCTGTTATGAAATCAACTTACTCTCCTACACATGATATAAGATGTGACCTGGAAGTGGTACTATGAGGTATGGTGAAAAGGATCCTGGTACTACCAATGGTATTCAGGCACCAGCTAGATTATACAGTGACATGTCTATATACCTAATCATTCCAGTGTTATTTTAAGACTACTATATGAACATTTCAAAAGGGGGGGGGGGGGGTTGAGCCAAATAGAAGATTATGTTTTATATCGATATGATAAAGCTTCATCATTTCTAGAGATGGTAGCTTAAGTTACGATACCCGTTTGTTTTTGTATGTGTGTATATCAGTTTATACACTCTAATCAGTTTGTCAGACTCTAATCTTTTGATTGCAGTGCAGCATGGACGAGCGATTTTTAATATTATTATTTGATACTATTTGGTGATGAATGCATGGGACAATGATTTATCATGAAATGAATATGTTGTTCTTGTAGCACACATCTGAGTACATGTATGATGTAACAATGACATTTTCCAATACACATGCATAGTTTGATTTGGGCTACAGTATGGAGTATTGAACATTAATATAAAAGAAAAAAAATGTTTTCTTTTATCCATATTGCATCTTTAATAGTGCAAAGTTGTAGGTGTGTTATCAACTGTATTTATTTATTACTGTATATTTTCAATGTAATGTACATTATATTACAAAACTCATTTTTTTAAAATTTAAATAAAATCACATTGTATTGTATTGGTACCGATTGTTTGACAAACTGTCTTCAAAAATTATTACTATTCTATACAATGAGAGAAAAAGTCTCATATCGCTGAATACTGATTGCTTTTACTGTTTCAAAGTCAAAAGAAGTAAATATTTTTTACATGCCCTGGTGCCACAACTTTAACAAGAATGAACAGTTCTATTTATTCACTCAATCTTTACAATCATTCCATTTATTCTAAGTTATTTACACAATTACTTTTACCTGGTACCCCTTTCTTTATCTATTAGGATTATTCAATACTGCAAGAAGATGCATGTTCAATGTTTAACATTTATTAAATATTGCTTTCGAATATATAAATTATCTGTAAATAGAAAAACAAACATTTTCACATTCTACTGTATGTTGCACACTTGATATGATGTGAAATGGTGCCAAGATTCAAACTGATGTGGGAAGATAAGAAGCAAAATGGTGTTATTCAGGGTACTTACTGATACTATATAAAATTGAATATTCTTGGTAATATAAATACAAAATATTGTTCCCCTCACAAGGACAATGGGTAAAGGTAGTAGTGTTTTATACTTGATTATAAAGGTTACTTTATAATCAACTGGTGGAGTGTTTAAGATATTTGCGATGAAGTGGGTAGTGATGCAT